GGTTTGAGAGTAACGAAATTTCTATTCTCTGTATGTCCTGTACATGTGGCAGAATTGACAAATAAAGTTGACTTGACTTGACTTGACAGTGTCTCCTCCGCTAAAGGAAACGCTGAAGCTCCTTCCCTCAGTGTTCGGAGACCTGGAGCAGGTTTGAACCCAAGACCCTCCTGCTATGAGGCAATAGAGCTCACCGCTGCCCCACATGGTCACACGTTAGTCACCTTAAAAAACACAAAACACGAATAACACTGGTCGCTGTGCAGTTCTCCTTCTGGTCTCTAGGGGCAGCGAAGCCCCGCGGCTCTGTCTTCAGACTGCATTACCCAGAATTCCAGAGGCGGAGCCTACCTGCCCACACCTGCAGAGAGTTGAGACACTGAAGACTGAAGGGAGAAAAAAGACACGAGAGTAAAATGCTGATTAAAGCAGCAGAACCGCAGTGAAGCGAGCTGAACCGGACCGAGTAGGTCTGATCCGGACTTACCTGACCCAGGACCGGGCCCAGCTCACCTGGATCCACCTGAGACCCACCGAAGGTTTCTTAACTTTTCTCTGAAGCAGGAAGTGAAGCAGCAGACATGGTGAGTTCACAGACTTCACTACAAAACCCGCAAAATCGGACCGGGACCTTAGACTGGTCCCGGTTCTGGTTCTGCAGGTTTCGCTGTGAGGAAGAACGTTCTGATCAAATCTGTGCAGCTGGGAGGAAAGGGCAAACAGACACTTCCTGAAGTTCAATGAAAACAACAAAATAAACAAAAACAATCAATAAAAAATTCTGTAAACAAAAGAAAAACATTCGAGGAAAAAGATCAACACAGAAATCTGATTTCAGAGACAGAAAACATTTAAATTAATGTTGTTAGATGACTGTGGAAATGAACAGAAACAAAGACGCTTACATAACAATTAAACGCTAAAATAAAAACACAGGAAACGGTCAAATGTCTCTGTGGGGTTACCATGGAAACGGCTCAGCTCACATTTATTTGATGATAAAGTTTATTCACTCTCCCGACGTCATGTCCCGACCAATCAGACAGCAGACACTCACTCTCTCTCTCTCTCTCTCTCTCTCTCTCTCTCTCTCTCTCTCTCTCTCTC